AATAAATAATAAGCCACCTGGAGTCAGTTTGCCTCCAGCTAATTGTTAGCATGTTAGAATGTTGTTATGGGCCAGACTATGTGATGGGAGCAGGAATCCCTTTCCATAACCAGAAATAGGATCTCATGTGGCGAGATGTGTTTATGATGCCTGGTCCTTCTTAAAATAGAAACAAAACAACCTCAAGATCTTAATGACAAAGTTGGAGAACTTATTTGGACTTTTTAAATGGTGTTGCTTTGATAAAGAAAGGAATTTCCTCTTTAAAACTGTCAATGGAATGCACAAAATATAATTTACACCCTCCACGTTTTTCTATAAAGGCTTAACTAGCTGAAGAATGAGCTGGTTTGAGTTGTGGTCGTGTGCATATACTGTGTATAATCGTTGCACCTTCATCAGCTTCTTCAGCCATGTCTCAGGGTCTTTTTAGGACATTAACAAAACTGTTATGACAAAATGTGACTGGCAGCAAAGACTGGGAAAGAAAAGATTTGACAGAAATAATGAGAATGAATGCTGTCTAGCCTGACTGTATTATTGGACAGGAGCTTTGCTAAATCAATAGAGAAAGATTTGCAAGCAGCGTGTCAAGGAAAAAACAAAATCCCAATGACGAGGTACGTCTGTGAGAACTGAAGAGTGAGGCGGTGATTCAGAGCGAAACAAAAGCACCTTATTCTCATTATGAAAAGATTTGACGATTCAAACAACTTTTGGAGCTTGGAGCGAACTTTACTCAGAAACGCCATCAATGTATAAACTATTGTTTTCATAAGAAGCTTCAAATCAAACATCAGATTTTCCAATGACGTGAGAAAGACATAAAACTACCAGCATGTCTGTGTTTTCATTTCAAATTAAAATCCTTATGACTGCTTGAATGCGTCCATGACTGTTTTGAAATCAGTTATTTTGCTGATTGTTTCCTTAAAATACAATCCATGTATTTTTTTTTCAACAAAAGAAACTATATTTCTGGTCTTGCACACAGTTCCTTTATAACCCACTCAGTAAATGCCCTTTTTTTTAAAGTCAGTAACTTACTGCTTATGTAAAGACATTTACAGATAAACCATACTTGATTTTCTTCAGACAACTCTGTTAATGGAAGAAAAATATTTAAAATCTGCAAAATTGCCCAATAAATCAAGGATTTCTTTTGTAGCGATTCTGACTGTTGGTCTAACTTTGAACAAATCTGTATTTCAATATTACAGCGACTAATTTAACACAATGTTGTCGTCATTATTTAGACACTTGATTTGATGGACACACGCACACTTACATGAGAATTATAAATCCAATACAATTATCACGTGTTTCATTTTTGTTTCCGACTTAAAAGTGTTGTCTGGAATGACCTTTTTTTTTTTGTCCGGTGACATCATTGGTAAAGTCACCGACTCGCATCACAAGCAGGTTTGACAACAAACAAAACCCTTTTTGTTAACGACAAACCCACATGGAGAGCACAAAGGTGGGAAGTGAACGGCTCTGCTTCCACAGTCACCTCTTGTTGTCTTTGTTTTTATGTAGCAACACTATACTTCCTCCTTTGTGTGGAAGATCTTTGCATCCAAACACAGTCAGAAACTAAGCTGTTTTTAATTTTGTTATAATTTGGATTAAACAAGGTGGACTTTGCGAATATTTTATTGTAAAGCTATGTAGGTTGGTATATACCAGTTTGTCAGGCGTTCTTATAATCAGACATTTTATTTTGTATCCTAAGGTTAGGAGAAGATAACTGTCCTGATATAAAGAGCTGAGCCAACAAATTTTTGTCTTCAATCCATTATGTCACCATGTAAACAAGGCTTGTGTTGTGGTATTTCAACACTTGTGTTGTAAAGTCATCAAAGATTTGACCTTTGATCCCTGCCTGTGTGAGAGTCATTCTTCCAGCGTGGCTCAATAAGATCACAATTTCTCTAAGGTTAGGGAGACGAGGACAAATCAATTATACGTTTAAACTAGACCTTATTATTCTGGACATTTTGCTGTTTTTACAGTGTTTAAATTCTAATAAAAGCCCGATATTCTTGTAATCTTTTAAACGTGGATCTTCTAAAGGTCTTTTAAAGTTTTTGCTTTACACTTTGGCTGCTATTTCTTGCATTTTTTTGTGCAGTTCTTGGTTCCAGTTTGCACAAAATGCTAAAAATGACCAAATCTGGCAAAGTATATGGGTCAAACTGTGTTGTTACTGGTGTTTTTTTTATATATATTCAATTCAAGAAATAGGAAGGAACATGCCTGTTGGTAACTAAATGCCTAGAGGACCCATTTCAAATGAATTGTTTGCTAAGTTGACTGTTGTGTGTTTGCATAACAGTGGTTCATCCATTGATTTTAGGATGTTTAAACCATTCATAAGTCAGAGTTAAGTGGCCTAACAAACTAATGCTCATTTGAGAATCTTCATACTGGTACTCACAAAAACAAAGAGACAAGAATGTCTTTTTAACCAAATAAAATGGTTCTCATCAACCTGTTTCAATTCAAGTGTGAAGTGTTGTTGGTTATTAGCACAGTTTAGCTTGATTAGAGGTCTAAACTTAATCAAAAGTAAGATCAGAGAGTATTTTAAACATGTAGCAGAAAGTTATCCATTAGAAAGATTAGGTTTTTGTTGATGAGCATTAATGTGTTCCTTAAAACTGACATTGTCGATGAGCTCTTGAAACTTGTGACTAAAGATGGCAACCTGAGGCTACTGCAAGAAGAAAGGGTTAATTTTTCAGTAGGACAAGTCGTGTTTAACTCCTTGTCTTGTGGAAGTAAAAGGTGGAATTTCAACAACTGCTTGTGTAACCATTAATCTTCTCAGTAAACACTCATTTCTGAACATGCCAGACTCAAACAATGGCACGGTGTTGTGCTGTTTGCTTTCTAAGCAGATTTTACATCGGGCTTTTGTAATAATTGTGAAACAGAATGTTAAAGTGAATTTAGCAGCTAGGGAAGAATAAATACTGTGACAGCTGCATTTCCTGTCACAAACCAGCAGTAATTGATCAGATTTTTGTTCACACTCTCCAAACTGTCACAATTAAAGATTTTTCTCATCCTCTTTAATTTCTTTAATCTTTTTTTTTTTTTTAATAAGTAGGGTTGTTTTGATGAGGATTGCCATTTAAACTGCATGCAATCTAATATTTTTTTATAAACTTATAACATATTTATTTCACTGCTACTGGAAGTTGACTGTAAAAGGGCCAAGGCGGACTAGTATGTTAATAAAAAAAAAAGTTTGCACTAGCAGGAGCAAATGTCTTCGAGTTTCTTTTATCATGTCAACTACAAGCAGACAAGCTTTATTTTTTTTAAATAATAAATACCCATCAGGACTTGACCACTTTAAGTTCATACAAGCAACTCTGTATGCATAGCTGCAAATTTAAAACCAGCACATTGTTGATTAGGGGAAAAAGGAACACTAAACAGTTTTTAATATTAATTTGTCAACATTAGGATTACAAATTTTGCAGAAACCTTTTTTGATGTACTCACTACTTTACAAAGGAGCAACGGTTGAAAAGCACAGACCAAAGTTCAGCTTTGGGCCCGTTTTTTTTCCTGTGCTTTGCGAACCTGCAGCACCAGCTGTAGAGGCAGCAGCAGAAGCAAATAGACTCTGACAGAACTCAGCTCTTTCTGAAACTGGGAACAATGGTTGTCCAATTAGACAAGGACCTGAGATTTGAGCCCCCCGTTAGAGAGGGCCAGACCAGGAGGGAGGAGGGTAGATGCCTTTGTGTGCATGTGTTGAAGTAAGGGGGGAGGTTTTTAGACTGATCCGTTTTTGTCCAACAGGGTGGAATTAGTTTGTAAGCATGTTAAATTGGAAGCATGGAGGAGTTTGAGATACTTTTTACTTTATCTTTTTTATTTGTGCAAATTTGATCTTTTAACCCACATTTGCATCTCTCAAGTTTTAAATCTCTTAACTACTGAACTTTTCCTACTAAGTCTGTATAATAAATGCACCTTTTTGTGCAAACTTATCATCAAAAGGAGAGTCGTACTCTTCTCGCTGCTTCCAGTTAAACACTAGGAAGTAGTTCTTCAGTTTTATAAGGTACAATTTGCAATGAGTCATTTTCACTTCAGAGCTGTTTAAATGTTTGCCTCATTTATCCCCAACCATTCTTTGACAAAGCATGAGTAAAACCTTTTTTCGTCGCCAGGGGGCAGAAGAGGGCCAATCTAAAATTGAAGGGAAGTCAAATGGTCTTTAATTGTATCCTATTTGTGTAAACACAGTAACGTTTATTCCTAATATTTATATAGCAGGCGTCACCTAAAAACATTACAATAATGTATATAAATGAATTTAGCTATATGAAGTTGTTAGTTTATCAAAAATAATGCTGATTTACTTTTATTTTAAAGGAAATATTCTCTTAGAAAAGCAGTTTATTTTGACAGATAAAGAAAATGCTTGTAGGAAACGTGCCTCTTCGGATGAAATAGCCCCTGTTCATTTAGCTGATTTTAATCTTACAAGAGTTTTCAAAATCCAAACAAGTTTATGACTTCTCGCTCTCCCCATTTTACAGCCCCTGTGTTTTCTTTTTAATGTTGCCATTATCAAACTACAGGGACTCGGGCAAACTGTGATATGCTTAGCTAAGCATGCATGGAGTACTTTTATGGCACCTTTCATTTTCTTTTTATCATGTTTTTATTGCTTTGTGTCAACAATTTTTTTTCATGTGCACACTCATGTGCAAAAATCGCAGAGTTGAGACTTGAGAAACTGTGTAACTAATAAAAATATATAAAAAGTTCATGTGCAACCTGCGCCTTTCTCTTGTTGTATGTGTGTTTTTAAGGGGTTGATCTTGCGCGTTAAACATCCCTGATATTTGAGGCGCTCCAGGGATTTACCGCGCATGCGCAGTACGCTCCTCTCAGCACCAGTGGAAACCGCTGGAGCAGTGTAGGAGTCATACCAAGCATAGTCTGCGTGTCAGTGCAGTCGACTTACAGCTGGCTGTGAGAAGAACTGACGCTCTACTTCCCCCTGTTTTTACTCTGTCGTCGCTAAACGTTTACTTATTGTTAAATTAAAAAGAAAAGTATCCCGATCTAACTGAAACATCCGCGAGACTACTTTCAGCGACAAGAAAATAAAGTTGGAGGCTGGGCCTTTAGCTTTTTTCGGACGGTCGCTTGAAAAGAGGGAGAAAAAGAAAAGCTGGTCTTTTTGTTTTAAATGAAAGCTCGATAAATGCATCTAATGAAGATGGACCTGTTGAACTATCAGTACTTGGACAAGATGAACAACAACATCGGTATTCTCTGCTACGAAGGTAATGTTTTGTGGGCGTTTTGAAAACTTTCGAGTGGCCGTTAGTTAGCCCAGTGGACTTTACTTTAGCTTTACTGTTTCTTTGCTAGCGAGTTCTTTATTTCCCACAAGCATAACCCAGAACATTAATATTAGCTACATGAAACAGTTTGAAAGTGTTAATGTAAAATGAACTGCTAACGTACTTTACGTAGCAACTAAAAGTGAGCGGCCTCGCTAGTATCGGCTCTGTTTTGTTTTGTGCTATATTTTGCTGCTTGGATGAAAGAATGTAAATGTGTGCGTGTTCATTTGATATGCCTCACTGTATTACTAGTCTCACTATCCGAGCTCTTGGTTATTACAGTTAGTCTCAGCTCATTCTTAAGACTTGTCTAGTGGGTTGTTTAACGCTTGCTCCACAGTTCAACTCTTCAGATGTGTCTGTAGTTTTTGTGCTGTAGACAGAACCGTGTTGTTCTTGGTGGTTGTTGGTTTTCATAAAAGCGGCTTGTCTGGGGGTTCATTGCACCAGTTTTTCTCCTGTCTTGACCCTGTCTTGTTCCACAGTCTGTAGCATTTAATAAGTGTGATAAAACGTGCTGAAAGCATCTCTTGTAACTAAGCAACTTAACAAAACAAAGGTCCAGCTGAATAAAAGCAATCAGTAGTTCCTTAACTTTTTAGCTTCTGACCCCCAAAATCAAATGGGGAAAAACTTGCACTCCAAATATTCTTGAACTATATAAACATGGTGAAAAGCTTGAATAAATAAAATAGTGCTTAACAACACAAGATGGCTTGAACTCCTATTATACAACTCCTTTGCCCCATATTTATGGTTGTCTGTTTTAACCTGTGTAATAATTAGTGAAATTATGCCAGCAGGAATTATTTTAGAATATTTTCATTTCTTGAAACCATCTCCAGACCCCCTGCTTAGTGTTTTGGTTCTTCCCCTGCAATTTTGGGAACCACAGGAACATACGCATGTTTTGTAAATGGTCTGGGGTTGCCCAAGGTGAGGTGTATTATTTCTTTATCTGGTTCTGACAAATCCCTAAAGAAATGCAATGCATTTCTTAGTTCCCTTTATGAACTGTTTGTCTTTCTTTGATGTTCTTATGCCTACTTTATGTATTATTGCTCTGCTTCAATTAGCAGTTCCCTCTTTGTATGGTACATGGACTTTAAATACCCCTTTATGACGTGCAACTGTAGGTACTTTTTGTATATGCTAAAAACTGCAGTATTTGTCATGTGACCGAAAACACTCATCAACAGAGGTGAACTTTTATTTGTTCCTGGTGCATTACTAGAAAATGTTTTAGCTGTTGTAATTCCTGTTTGGCAAACTGCGCGTGAGATTGCTGTATTTAAACGTGGGACCTGTTAAGTGTTTCTCAGTAGTTTGGACACGCATGCTAGTCTTGTAAAATTTTAGAGACTGAGCAGTAAAGGTGTAGCCTGGGGTGGCTGCCTGTCAGAGCGAGGCTTTTGTGTGTTAACATGAAGCCTCGTCTTCCTCAGGTTTCATCCTGTTTCTGTGAAGAGAATGACCTCAGTTAGGGGGAGTGGTATATTTGTATATATTCAGAATCTGCTGGATATCACTTGGACATGTTGAACTTAAATCAATTTTGTTTCTGGTTGCATTTCCTGATGGATTAAACCTGTCTGTTTACTTCTCAGTGTTTCTAAGTGTGTTTTAAGCTGACTTAACTAAAATCTGACTTCTTCACGTGTTTCTTGATAAGAAAACCAAGATTAAAGAACTGCGAAAGGAGCTTGGCGGTTAAAAAAAAAGAGTGAAAGAAAACCCCCTACAGTTCAAACATGTTGAGCCAAGTAAAGATGGGAAATGCTTTATGATACTGTGGTTGTCCTGACTTGTTATTATATGCATGAGCACACCAACTTGAATACATGTCCTGGCAAACCCACATGCATGCTCCTACTGGTAGTCTGTCCTTACAGCTTCAGGCCTCTCCTGAAGCTAGCACTTTGTTGTCATTGTTGACACTCATTTGCAAGTGCAACCATGGCACTGTTCATCCCACACATGTTCAGCTGTGAACTTTTAGAACCGGTAGATGCTTTTATATGCGGCTTATTAAATTATGTTTGCCTGTTAGAAAAATTCAGAGCTAAATGATGCTTTTGAATAATCCCATTCACGTGATAATGAAGTGTTTGGATAGTTTACACTATCCTGACTCACAGTAATTTAATGCTTAATCACTTGCTCTGAGAAAATTTAGAACAAGTAATTAAGTTTAATCTTGTTTTCCAAATGTAAGCTAATGAAATCAAGTGCTCATGTTCAAAATCAAGTGCTCATGTTCTACAATTTATCCAAAATTGGACACGCTTCAGTCAGGTCATAGGACAGCCAAGTCCTTGGATTGAGTTAATTTAACTAACAATAATTTACATTTATCTTCAGTGTTCTTCTTTCTTTCTGTATTTTTTATTTTTTTTGTTTATTACAAGTCACCAAGTGTAGAAAAACAAAATCGTGCATAACACCTCTAGATTGATGGGTGTGCCAATTTTATTGCTGAGTGATAAATGTTACTGAACTGTATCGTTGGTGACAGTTTTCAGTCACTTACAGGCAATGACACAGTCATATTTTGCACTGCCAGGTAATTAAAGCATGAAGACGGTGACGCTGAGGTGTAGACAAGATTGTGAAACTTGCGAACACTTTGATTGTTATATCACTATATGTCATGTTAGGACTAAATGATAAGTACTGTAGTTTTTAACTGCAACAACAAATGTCTCTGGAATTCCAATTGTTCCCATTTTATTGTTTCAAATCTTTACTTCATGGTTGTTTCAAAATCTGGTATTCTTTAGTAAATTTTTTTTTTTTGTCAGATTTGATATGAAGGATGGTGGAAGGTGTGAACTTCCCAGATGTGTGAAGTTTTAACCTTTTCTGTTTGTTAGTTTATCAGTTTCTGGCTTTCTGCCATCATTTGTAAACCTATCATGGAGAGGAGTAGATTATTGCTGGCCAGGACAAAACAAACAAACAAAACCCCCACAAATCTTAAAACATCTTTAAAGTCTTGCACTTTGCTTTATTTACATTTTTTTCAGTCAGAGATCATACAAATCAAGATTATGGGATTAAAAGTTCAGCCCATAAAAACAAAAACATCAATGGAGATTTTGTTTTTGTGTGTGTGTGTGTATGTCCTATTGAATATAAAAAGTTTTAAATCTCTGTGGATTGGGGATGATAAAAGCAGCCGCGGTGTGGGTTTCTGAAAAGCCCATCCAAAAATAACTATTGGTACTTTGCTGTTTTGTGGAGAGAACTAATCTTTAAGTATTCAAAGGGGAGAAAGAGAGCGAGAAAAGCAGACGGACTTGGAAAGAGAGAGAGGTTCACCTTAGTTTGTAATCCAATCTCATCCTGATTCCAAGCTGTTTGATCAAGAGAACGAGGCTTTGATCATGGAGACCTAATGAACTGAGGGAGCAGTTTTACTTCTGTTACTGCCCTCGTCCAACTGATTGGCTTCTTCTGCCAGTTAAAAAAATCCTTTTTTGAGGGCTCTTTAAACAAATATTTAGAGTAACACATAAGATAATGTAGACTGATGTAGAATGTTGTAAAGACTATCAACATTTTCCCCCCGTTGGTGGCATGGGTACTTTTCCTGTTCTTGTTCCTGGTTTTATGATTTGTGGGCAAAATGCAGAAAATTGCACAAATTATTTTGCTCTTTTGTAGCATTGTTCTTGCCACTGTTCCTCTTCCTAGTTGTTTTTTTCTTCTTTTTGCCTACTACTGTGCAAATATTAGCCTGTTTATGTATTTACTACTAAAATCAATCCACAATTTAGGATTGCATGGTTCTCAATAAATACACATATCTTTGTTTATTTGGAAAAAAGTAAGATGAGATTAACCATATTTTGTTGCTGTCAGTAAAAACTGAACTTTATAACCTTTTTCGATGTGAAATTGCCTCCAATAAGGTACTACATTTACAGGTTCATTGAGTTGAAGCCAAGTCAGCAGTGTTTGGCTCCTTCCAGTCAAATGTCTTGTTTGCAGGGGAAACACTCACAGATTTCCTCTTTGTTGAGCACCACACACTGATCAGCTGTTGTATGTCTTTGGATGCTGATTGGACAGCGTGGTGTCAGTCTTTTTGTTTTATTGCCACCCCACTGCCCTGCCAAAAACAATGATGTCACTTTTGTTGCCATGGTCACAGTAGGGCAAGCTGGAACATGCCAAAGAGCGAGAGGACTAGCTATTGTCTCTTAGGCCATGCAAAAACTAAATATATTGTACAATAAATAGATTATGGTCTTTTAGTGAAGGTGTGAATTAGACAGTGATGCTCATATCTGTGGGAACTATTTTCCATGCAGATTTCGTGCCCCTATGGATCCAAAAGTTGAATAGAATAAACATCAATAATATATCAATTTATTTGAAACATCTGACTTAATAGTGTGGTGCTACTCTGCACAAAATTTGGGTTAATATTTGTTTCTGCAACACAATTGCACAGTGAAAAAGCGTTAAAAATATATTCATCTATTCAACAATTTTAATGATATTTCTAAAATAAGAAGAAAGATGATGTGTACAGTGCTTGAACTAATTTCTGCCTCAGTAAGAGTAGCAATGTTAAGAAAAAGAAACTGCTGTCAAATTTAGTGTGGGTTTTTTGTTTTGTTTGGGAAAAGTCAAACAGATCCACGAGGCCCAAGCAGTGGAAAGTCCCTGTGTTGAGATGGAGCCAGTGGTAGCTTTCCTGATTCTTCTTTTGCTTGAACTCCCACTCACTGACAGCTCTGTAGGCCCTCTGTGCCAGGTCAAGACTGCTGAGAGAGAAATAATTCACACCACACGCATGCATGTGGAATCATCCACAACTATTTCGCCCAGAACATTCCTGACCAGATATTCCTCTGCTTATGTAAAGAGGGCTTTGCTCAGCAAGCTGCATTAGTCAACAAAATCCAATGTTTGATCTAAATTACATCCTGGACTGAAAAACACTCAATCAGTGGTAGAATTTACCTGATCTCTTGAATAAAGTCTTACATCTCTGCTTCCCCTGTTTTTTTTCTGTTTTGTTTTGCAGGTGAAGCTGCATTGAGAGGGGATCCTAGATTCCAGTCCCTGTCACTTTCATCTTCCTCCTCCTCGTCATCGTCCTCCTCTTCTTCCATCTCAAGCCACAGAACGGGTCCTCCTCCCATCAGCCCCACCAAAAGGAAGCTGAGTGGAGACCAGGTAGACAGCGACATGGACGACAATGAGCATGTGGCAAAGATGAGTCGACTGTTTGCTGCACAACTGTGAGTACACTGAGACTCACTCATCCGCAACCGTATGACTTAACAGGTGCACACGTTCAAAAAAACCTGAAGATCATTCAATGTTCATACAGTTTTTATTGTATGAGATGCTTCTAAAAGATAGCACTGTTCGTTTGTCTTTCTTTATCATTCAGAGATTGTAGTTATGGAGGAAGCTTGGTTCCTAAAAGCAGCATACAATTCTTATTTTTTTGTAAAACATAGCCTCCTTTCTTTTTTTAATTTCAAATAGGTTGGGTTTTGCCTGCTGCACATGCAAATATTTCTGTTGGCTATATCTGAAGCTGCACAGGGGGATTTACTCATTCCCATTTGGGCCACATGATGCTGTGCCAAGTTGAGCTGGCTCTGCAAATTTGTACTCCTCTTGTAGCTGCACATCTTTGAAAGCTTGGAAGCAGGAACCGCACAACCAAAAAATAACTCGCAACATTTCTACATTCCTGCTTCCAGGGGTTCTAGAGCATTCAAAATGTTGGATGGTGGTAAATGTCTGCAGAGGAAGGGGCCAGTGGAGTCTGAGTCAGTCATAACCGAGTCATTTATAGGATGCTAGCTAGCCACTGCTATTTATTGCAGGCAGGCAAAGAAGTGTTAGGGGGAGCTATGCATGCTAGTTTCCAACATTACGTCCAGATTGACAGATGCAAGTAATTTGAAAAATGAAGTGACACAATGAAACTCTGGATCGCCATTAGCACAATGCAACTTGCTCCAGTTTTATCCCCTCTGAACTTCATCTCCAACGGATCTCAGTGATGCGAGCAAACGGTTCTTCTACAGTTTCTTCTATCTCAATAACTTTGCTAGTAATTCGATTTCTACGTACAATGAGAGCAAAAAGTGGCACTTAACATCTGTCATAAAAAGTTTAGTAATTTAGGTAGATTACTCTAGATTTGTATCATCTGTACTTAAATATAAGAAATATGTATATCATTGCAAACTTAAAAAAAACTAATCCACACACAGTGGTAAAAATCTCTTTAGAACATGTTAGAATAAAGTTAACCAAGGTAAGAGGTATTCAACTTGTGCTACTGTATCTTTAAACATTTTCAGATGAAAACCAGTAATTGTCATCTTGTGTTTCTGGGTGATTTTAGTGGGTTGAAGAAAGAGATGATAATTCTGTAGCCTGGGAAATAATCTTCCTGGACCTACTTTTGTTCTACAGCAGGCCATAGCTTCATTGAAACTTGTTTGTAAGGATTTTGATGATTTTAGAGAACTTTGGCTCCGTTTCTGTCAATAGACCAGGACCATTCACGGTTCTGTAGATTGGGCACTCGGTTCTGTTGACTGGTCGGGCCGCCCTGCTTGTATAAGAGGGAACGGGGGTTATTCTTTTATCTTTTGACCGTCAAAGCTAACGATTAAGTTAACCATCATGAGATGTGCATCTTAAGTCATAATTATTATTATTATTTTTTTAATTATGAATGTCATCAAGAGTAGATCTATAAAAACACTGAAAAAAAAAATCCACCTTTAAACCATCTTCTCTTTGGTGTATTATTCTGTTGCTTCTGATGTTATTTTTAATTGATATTTATTCATGTATACACCATGTGGTTGAACTTTTTATGCATTCATAACCAAATACTCCCACTTGTGAATCACGAGTTGAATTTTATTTTGTAAATCTGCTTGTGAAAGTACAAGAGGATCTTTTGTCGTATCAGTTTTCATTTTGTCTCACTGCCTGCTCTACACACAACTTTCAGTTTGGAATGGAGTTTTACTGATACAAGTCTGTGATGTTTAAGACTTTTCAGGCTGCTCATTGTACCATGATTATTTTCTAGACATAATCCATAATCCTCTAATTTAATCTTCATTTTATTTATGACCTTGAAATCATTTGACTTTTAGTCCTGCAAGTTTTATTTCCACCCAACAGAAGTGATTAGTTAGTTGACTTGCTTTAGTCAGGCAAAATGAGTTTCATGTTTACACTTTCACTTTTTGTATGGAGACCTAACTCTAGAGTAATCTTTTTGTTGTTGTTGTTGTTGTTTTTAATATGAAGTTTCAGTCTTTGGTAAAGTGCTGCTAAGTGACGTGCTGAAACCTGCGGTCAAAGTTTGAAATGTTCAGCTTATCTTGACGGCACTCATTACACTCTAGCTGGTGAATGATGGGTTAAGCTAAATTACAATAAAAATACCCTTCATAGAAAACTCTGGAGTGTGTATACAACGCACACAGTCACACACAGTTCAGATGTCCTGAGATGGCAATCCGTGTACTGAGCTGTTGGAGTTTTGCCAGCTGCTTCTGTCTGTGCAGCTTGTTTTCTTTTTGTTTTTTTTGGCGCTGACTGCTTAGCCTTAGCTTTGTGTTCCCATTTCTCAAAGTATTTTTCTCTAGCAAAAAAAGACATTTTTAATGTGTTGACTATGTTGATTATAAAAGTAAATTTAGTTTTGCTTAAATTTCTGTCTCAACAGTTTTATTGATGTAAAAAAACTTAGGTTATTTTTTGCAATAGTCATTTAGAATTTGTTAGTATTTCCGTATACAAAAAAAAAAAAAAATCTGGTAAAATCATCCAGTCTTGGGGCAGGTTGTGATTTTTGTCTGTTTTGCATCTGCTTGTGCTCATGCAGATATGCACACGTGTTGCATTTGTTGTGCACACATGGATGTGTGCGTCTCCATCTGTGATCATCTGCAAGTGTCCTTGTGTGTGTGTGTCTCTGTGTGGGGTGAGGTCAGGCAACAACTTTCTCATTTTCTCTGAGAAGTAGGAGGAGTCTTGAACAAAGAAGCTTTATCCTGTCCACTGGAGCCTGCGGGCTGGAAGCTTGCTGTAGCCTGTTTGCTTGCCCGCCACTCTGCAGTTAGACCCACCAGTGTAAAAGTCTTCAGCTGTCTCATTCTTCCTTAAACATGGTCGTCAGAGAAATAAACAGATACTGTATTTATGTCTGATTGTAGAAAACAGCAGCATGAAATATGAGTTTCAACACACAGAAGTTTACATGGGACATAGGAGAGGTTTGTTTTTGTTCGTTTTATTTTTAGGAAAAACAATCAGTTTAAATGTAGTATATATTTCACAGAATGTTATTAATTCTGTTCTGTAAAAAAAACAGTGAAATGTTCCTGTCAGGTTAGACTGTAATGTAAGATTTTCAGCACAAGAATGTCGAGGTGGATCAGTGTGAATTTCAGTTTGTCTTGTACGAGGGCTGAATGTCTGTCGAAGTGTGTAATTTGTTGCATTTATGCTATATTGCTCTCTAAGACTATTCCAGACATGGTGACTTAAAACAAAATGCAGCTGCCTTGTACTGGGAACTCCATCAGTAAGTTGTTCTCATGGAAGTTTCTCCAGAGGCCCAATGGGGAGAGAATAAGAGGAAGAATGTGTGTGTGTGTGTGTGTGTGTGTGTGTGTGTGTGTGTGTGTGTGTGTGTGTGTG